TATAAACATGGTCGTTTTTCAGTATGTTACTGTTTACAAATAAGCTATAGTTCAAGTGCTTCTGATAAGAACACAATAAACAATTATATATTCCTTTCATTAAAGGCTCATCAAATGCAAACATTAATATGCAAATTTCCCAAATACCCTTCTGAGCAGCAATCAGCTACAGTGAGTTTAAGTGATAGACATAATGGAAAATTAGCAAAACCACCGACATGATAATTAGACATTTTACATATAGAAGCCGATTAACTCACACATAACAGATATTCTTGGGCATTATATGACATTGACAACATATTATATGATACAAGCACACTTTATAATTGGTCTGGGCCCTAAATCCCAAGTGGAATATCCCATATAGCCAATAATTGTTGGGAAAGACATTATTCTTTGTTGTATCATTTTTCCCATTCTACCCTGGCTTCTTTGATTGGAAAGTGTATTAGGTGTAAAATTTACAGTAGTAAAACAGGATTCTAACATTGTGAATTGAGAGTACTCATGTAAGCGAGGAAACTGCTTACTTTCACCTGAAAAACTGAAATTATTCTTGGTTGAACTATCCACATAGCAAAACTTGAGTTTTTCATCAGATGTTCATCTGTCTATCAAACAATGACGAAGACGTTCATGTATTAAGTATGTTATCAATATACGCAATGTCAATGAGTCAATCAGTTCCCTGACATTTGCATCAATCTCTTCATGTAATTTGTACGCTCTGGTAAACCCATCGGCTAATCATGGTAGGGGATGCAGCTCTGTTCTGTTTAATATCCCTCGGATCTCAGAATCATACTAAACAGATGAAGCGAGGGTGGGCCGAAGACTGATTTACAAGATAAATTTGGAACTGTGTAATTTGGATTTCTGGCCCACATAGTGTAGCCCGGCAACAGGATTTAATTCATTTTTGAATCTGTCAATTCCTCAGTCTCTCTTATCTTTAAAACCATTCTGAGCGCATACTCACTCTTGATATAATTGCATTGCCGCATTGCAGAACATTTCAATGCAATAGTTATTTACACTATGTGACACCATTGTTCGTATGTAATACCGTTTAACCACAGTCAGCTGGCGTACATGTGATAATAAAATAAATGTGAGGTTTGAACATATTCTCGGGGTATTTGAAACCGAAATCGTCATCAAACTATAAGGCCGACACAGATTGATTTTGAAGTTATTAGTATTATATTAGAAATGCAATTCGGTGCCAAAGGTCAATAAAGCCCCCCCCCCCACTACAAAAAACAGTGTTCAAATGAGATTGCCAGAGTAATACATGTGAACATTGTAGATATAGAACATGATACAACATAGTTTACCTAAAAAAGCTTTAAATCAGTGTGATGCCGTTCTTTATTCTCTAATTATATAGAATAAGAACGACAAACACACACAAATGAATGAAATACAACGTACAAATGGCGATTCCCATATTCTGAACAAGTACCTAAAGAGAACAATCTGATGGAACACTTCTAAGGTGCCGTCAAATAATTCTGACGAGAATCAAAATTCAAATTTTGAGATCAGTTGTTATAATTGACTACGCCCTCGCTTAAGGTAGAGATGCAGGCTCGTAGGCACGTGGGAGTGAATTTTTTTTTTGCTTTTTATTATTCAAACAGTCTTGGCTATAGACTGTTAAAATTTTGTGGAATTGTGAATAGTAGAACATACTCAAAAGACGATTTTAAAATATAGATAACTGGTGCAAACATTCTCTCTTTTGAATGCTTAGCAAGATTTAGCAAGGCTGCACATAAATAATAAAAAAGAAACAGGATCTCCATATTATGCACTATATTTAACTTTTTACAAAACGATAATACATTTAAATTTGGAACTGTTACAGACATTTTAATTATGAGCATTAACAAACTTCTTAATGAGTGAATTGTTATGCAAATTAGCATTTATCTCAGCTTCTTTTTAGTGCACATCCAAGAACTTTTAAAAAAAATAGCTCCTGGACGCTTTGACCTTTTGTTTTGAAATTTTCACAAATGATTGACAATGTGTTTATCTTCAAAACGCTGTCGGGGTATTGCTTTTGGTTGAACGGTGTTACAACAATCGTACAGACAACTAGCCTGGGTGTTAATTTATGCATGAACTTGAAGTAGTGAAATTTGAGCTGCTGCCCTGCAAAATTGACAACTGGTAGACAGTTTTCAAGACGGCACTTTCTTCATAGTAAACAGATGTACCCGTAAACAAATTTTGACAGGAAACAGAAGCATGGTTTAGAAGCTAGTTTTTTTTAATCACTTTTGACCAAAAAAGCACATTTTGTGCATATTTCAAACTACAGTGTCCAGAGAAAAAAAATACTAACAAAATTCATACAATAAGCTTTTCGAAAATATATAGTTTTGTGAACAAGGGAGGTCATCTTGGTTGCCTGATTAACTAATCAAAATACCTGTCAGGTAAACTGCATCTCTGATCCGTGGTACACCAAGGCCATTTCACAATGTAATCTCATCCTTACAATTGATTAAATAAACATTTAGTATATTAGTCATATTTTTGATTCGATGTTAACATAACTCTGTACTATGGTGTTGGTGATTATGAATTTGGTGCCATAGGATGGTACTTGACGGCCAACCAACCTAATCAAATATGTATTTTGCATTGTACGAGTGCAAAATAAGTTATTAGGAAATTCGAATATTAGGATATTAGTGCCAGCTGTTTTAGACGCATGCGCATTGGCCGATCCTGTCAAATCTCGTCATCTGTTTCTGAATGATTGGAGCAGCAATGGAAGCCGACCATTTAATTGATAAAAATCTTGTCCAGAATATGATTTTAAGTGGCCGAACTTATAGATAAAACAGTCTCGTATTGGAAAGCATGTTTCCGGGAAGGAAAGGTATCGAAGTGGCGTGGCGTGGTGAGTAGATCCCCCCCCCCCCCAGGACGCCGAGTTGGGCGTCGGTATCGAAAATTAAGGAGACGGTGAATATGGTGTCGAGCGACCAACATAGTAAACCAACCTCAGAACTCGCGATACTGGTGCAGTCGACTATGGTCGAACAACCATGAAAAATAAGTGGCGGGACTTTGGTGTTGCACGTTTAGCGCAGAAATAAAAGACACGCCCACAGTTGGACAACCAATCATTTTATTATTGGTCACGATGTACCACAGATCATCTCCACGCCCTTTGTAAACACCACATGCACGATGTGCCGCCATCCAATGGCGGGATGAGTGGCTTCCTTTGTGCAACTTCATGAGAGAAACACGACGCACTTGCTAAGCCAGACCCTGGTGGCGCCCTACTATTTCATCAATAATCAAATATACTATTATCCTGTTCCCGAATTGGACATTTGTTTATTTGAAGTAATTTCCAATTCTACGCCAGGTCCTTAGTAATTTATGATTCCGCGTATTTATTTGGCCGTTATTTGACAGACTTAAAATGCCACAATGTTAATTCACGGAAATTTAAACACACTGATACTGATAATGAATTAAAAAATTGCCAAAAAATACTAAATTTTATATCCCATGGAAATAATTGAAATCAAAATATTTGGCAATATATTAGGTTTTGCGTCGCATGCATACGATTGAAATATCATATAAAATGGGCCTTATATACTAATGTTGTATTTATTTAATTGTAAGAACGAGTTTACATCCTGGAATGACCACGATGTACCACGAATCATCTCTACCTTGAATTCTCAAGTACTAAACTACGCCAGATTCAATCGGCGAGGGCGCAATAACTAACGCCGACCATGTATCAGCTATGATTGACATAATGCTAAGAAGTCATTATTATGTTGCGAGATCCCGATACTAGCCAGTGAACTGTCTGTGTTGCTGTTTTTAATAATTCGTCAATTTTTTTTTTGGAGTAAGTTGTTCCGAACATTGTTGCATTGTTAGTATTTAAAAAATCCAAGAAAAAAAGATGAAACACATTTGTTTGATTCTAAAAATAACACATTCTAGCCCGCCAAGTATGGTGACAAAATCAAGAATTAAAATGCAATGAATTTTCTCGGAATACTCAAACTAAACTGGATAAATAGGTTATAAGGCAGTGATGCTTATGCAAGTTACACAAAAGAAACCTCTCCGACCACATTTTAAATTTGCTTAGGACGGTAATACCCCGACTTGTAATCAAAACGGCAACAGCTACACGTGACTTATGATTGGCATGTGCCGTGTTCGAATCAGACTTCGGAATGAACAAGCGTTAACGCCCTGATTGCTATACAGTAGCCGCGATTCATTCGCTAGCACGAGACCGAGCCTGGTTGACGTCATGCGTGTTTTTCATGAACGTTGTTCAAAAATAGTGTGGACAGCGATTTAGCTATTGGTGCAATGTATGTAGGAAACGGCCAAGTTGTCGAATGGCGCCCTCAAGTGTCACAGAGCAAGGTGCCAGTATCTTGCAAAAGAGACACTGGTTGTACAATGTACTTTATGCACGTTAACATTGCATTGAAAAGACGACTGGCAGACGGTATTTTGGTACAAGCTGCATGACGTATGAGGTGAAGTCTCATTTTGTAAAAACGTAATGATGTGAATTTACGTTATACCTCAATTCCTGCCTCTAAAATATGAAACCATTTCTATGGCTAGTAACAATCACATGACTCAGATTCAACCAGCCAATGAGGAAATGGGCATTCATAAAAAGTATTTATTCTCGTGTTATTCTAAAATTGCATATACTGTTGATTTTCTAGACTGAGTTAATGCAATTGACAGTGTACCTCGGCCTGTCAACTCAACGCATCGTTGTTGTCCGATACACTCACTGAGCTGTACAGCTGGTCTATGTGTTGAATATAGAATCACTATGTACTATGTAGTTGAACCACGATGCCTAATAATAATTTGTCTACAGTACTAAACAGAGTCGGTGATACATACAAGTTGGGCATATCGGGTACGAGGGCATATACAAGCATCTAGGTACGTTGAGTGCACGTGTAAACATGAAACAGTCATCGGAAAAGTTCCAATCGCTCACCGCTCCTGACAATGCAACACACGCCACAAATGAAGATATTTCTGACAGCAGCTCAACAAGTTGTTGCGACGGCGGATGCGGTCGGTGGTGTCACGGACATCTACACAGTCTGGAAGGGATGTTAATGGCCCTGTTATCGGGGATCTCCTTAGCAGTGTCGTCAATTTACACTCGTCTATCAAGCGATGGCGGAGTCCCAAGGTTTCACACGACGTTTATCAATAACATACCACTAGCACCCGTCGTCATTCCCTTCATGGTCTACTACAAAGTAAACCCAATCTGCCACGAGCGATGGAGGGATACACTGGTCATACTTCTCTTAGGGTGCGGTCGAGCTGTTGTTATCATGGCACAGACGATATCGTTTACGTACGTCAACTCGGGCAACGCCGTAGCGCTGTTGAATGGAATAACGGCAGTGGCGGCGTCACTCCTGGCAAGTCTTTTCCTACGCGAGAAATGCAGGCTAATAGGCATTGTAGCAATATGCGTAGATATAGTAGGTATAGTTTTATTAATTCGACCACCGTTTATTTTCGGCCATCTATCGGAAAGTTACGGTTACACCATGGACTTGACCATTGGATACTCTCTTATCACAGTTGCCGCGGTCATTCTCGCTATCGTGATCGTGGCGTCTCGTAAACTACTACAACGGGTTAGTATACTGATCGTCACATTTTACGCCGGTGTCATGGGATTTGTATTAAGTTTGATTTTTATGCTGGCGCTTGAGACGTCAGTTTTTCCAATAACCGACTTGTCGTTGATTTTCTATCTGTCCCTAATGGCGATAAGTTACACCATAGCGTTTTACACATTGTACAGGGCCGTACAAGTACAAGATGCGAGCACGTGTGCATTACTTAGAAACATATCTATCGTAGTGGCGTTTGTACTGCAACACTACGTGCTAGAAACCAGACCAACTCTGCTTGACATTATCGGGGCTTCTCTAATCCTCGTTGGAACATCAGTGGTTTCCTTGGAAACCTGGTGGATTAAAACTCACCGTAAAGACGAAGAAGAGGACTTGTTACTCTCAGAAGACAGCGGTAGCGAGATGATACCAATCACTGGGTTCGGTGCTACTATTGATAGGGATAACAAACACAGTAAATGTCAGTAGTTATTGTGGGGCTGAGTTATAATCCTTGCGAATATTCGTTTTTATCACCTGCAATGCGTGCAAATTCACACTAATACAAATTCACATAATAGTCCAAAGGCTTTCTAACTGTAATTTTAATTAGAAAAATTCAGACTTAGTTTTGCAAAAAGAAATTGTCAATATACCATTTTCCGTTCTCTGCGAGATCCTGCGTTATGCGTGAAATCGAACGTAAAAACAGAGCGTCAAAACTTCGCGTTGGATTTGACAAAAGTATATTCATGCCTAATTAATAATACACGTTTGATGATGATCAATTTTGCTGAAATAATACCTTTTACGCAGTATGCGAGATCTCGCAGTAAACGGAAAATCACCTATTGTGCTTGACGATGACATAAGTGAAAACGTGAACGTCTATATTAAAAATACAAAATACATTCCTTTACAAATGTTTGATGCATCGGATGGCAAAATGTCTTACTACCTAACACTGTACTGGGCAACCTTATATTTGTTATTTGTAGAAGGATCAAATACAATTTTGATGGAAATGGTTATTATGAATGCACATGCATGTATACAATACATACTGTATACGTAGAAAAACCCAGCTGCTACCATACTTAACAGTGAATTGTGTATATATATATAATGCCGTGTGAGTGGGGTATTGAATGGATGCTTCATTTTGCTATACTGATAATTGTATACATTTCTTCACTTTGCTTAGGATAATGAATGTATACGAACCGCACGACGGAATAACGTTGCTATATGCATTGGCAAGATCAGAAAAGCTTATATAGTCCACATTTTACGCGGATTTAAATTGGTAGGAAAAAAATATAAACTATTACAATAATTGACATTATATTGTAAGGACACCTGTGACAGATTCGCTGAATGTATGAACCCTGTCACAGCTGTTTCAAGTCCCCATTTAGCAGGTACTTTGTAGACCTCCAGCTGTGAATGATTGACATGAACATTTAAATTTGAATAATATACTCAGCTTAATTAAATTGTGAAATTAGCTTTGCCGGAAGTCAGTCGCAATTATAAAAAATGATTAATAAAATGAGTCAATTTCGATATATGAAGTGAATATTTAAGAGAAGTTCAGATATATAATATGATTTCAGTTGTTTAATTGTGTGTATGCCCAAGGATGACATACTCCGTTCATTCACAGTGACAAAACCGTTAAAGTCATATCCGTCGGTGCGTGGAACTATAAAACACAGACCTGAGGTAGAAGCCTACTCATAAGTTTAGATAAGTTGGTCATAAATCGCATGACAATGTTCACTGGTTTAGTATGTGAAATCATGAAACTATTGTCCAATGGCGCCATAAAATAAAATTCGTTCTAATATTTATCAAAAATCGTTATTTTTAGAACAATTCCATAGAAAATAATGTTGAAGCAAAATTGTATTTTTTTGACACTTTTTAACCCCAGATTTTTTAAATAACTCAGTACAACAAAATGTACCCATCATCCACAATATATCATTTTTACAGCATATTTCACCAGCCTAAAATTTTAGATGTGGCATAATATTTCAGCCACAATAGCCTATGGTAAAAGAGTTATAATATTGCCAAAAATGGCAACTATCCACTAAAATACAACCATCATTTTCTCAAAAATTAGGCTTGTGACCCCCGACCTTTCAATATCCTTATATTGCTCGGCAGTGCATTTTATTGCAATTTGAAAATGACTAAATTCTGAGTATTTGCTTCCATGAGTATGCTTCTACCTTAATTTTATTTTAAACAAAGTACTGGCTGTTATTCCGTCGGGTTCGAAATGGGTTCCATTGTCAACCAATCACGCGCCTCGTCTCTAACAATTTCTTAATTAAATATATTTTAATAATAATAATAAATGTCTGTGTGTGAGGTGGTCGTCGAACTAATGTATGAAACTGAAAGATGTAATAACCCCCGTCACGTTTTGAAATTACAATTTTACTGTCGATAAATATTCATGTCAATGAAATATTTGTTTCTGAATACTTTAATTGACATTGTGGTTTTATCTAGTTTAAGTTTAAAAACTGCATAAGACTACCAAGGAAGAAGAAGGGGTGTCACATAGATATAAAAGGATATCTCATGAACTTGATATCTTGTTTATCTCATGTATCCATTTCGCAGATTCCAAAAGCTGAAAACGTGACTAACGCATACATCGTAGTGAGCGCGTATTCAGGACATCTTTGAGTGTTCGGGCTAATTTACATAATGACCAAGAGCCGTGAATAAATGCTGATTACAGTTAGTTAACCGTATTGCGATTTAGAAATATAGTTATCACTATATTTACGGTTTTAGAGATGTATTGTTAACGTAGTTACATACCGAATCACCAATAGACACGGGCGAAACAAATGTATTGTGTGCGGATCAAGAAGTTGAGATTCAGAGAGTTTGAAGTGAGATCTCACATATATGTGGACTTTATAACACACAAAGTCTGAAACTTCGCATTAATATAATCTTACTATTAATTAAGAAATATATATATCTATTGTGTAATAACAATATATTAAGATAGTGTTTTTTTTTGCGAAACTCAGTCATAATGCCAAAAGGTCAATTTGCTTCCATGGACCAATCCGAATGCCGGAAGATATGGATATATAGAATATGATTACACTACTTCATTACATCAATCTCCCATGATATATGGAATAAAGACTCAATCAATCACGCCGATTTGTATTTGGAAGCGCATATTTCATTTTACATATACATTACATTTTAATATAAATAATTATACAGTATCGATATATTGTTTAATTAACGACCAATTCTAATACGCTGCCAGTCAATCTTAATATCGGAAAAATATATAAAAATGACTATTTCTTTTTCAATGATGAATTTGCTGTAACTTTCTTATTTCTTATGTTTAATATTTTTTATTAAAATAGGCGTGCAGAGTTTTTTCTGTCATTGATCCCTGCAAAATACTTTTATCCACGATTTTCTTCCTATGTATTTTTTTTCAAGTCGGCCACCCGGCAGATTTTCTAAAGGTCCACCCATGAGACACACATTCACATATTTTGATTATGCATTATGAAATCACTTTTATGTCATTATACCTTTGAATTTTTTGTCGTTCTATTTCCATCTTTTGTGCGTCACGATGGCAACTTATATCATCTATTAGTGGTAATAAATAGTGGGATGCCCCCTTCAGCTGACACAGGTTTTAATAACACATACTACAAAGCGTCGTAATAATAGCACGTACTTAATAATTATATCAATCATTTCCATCCGATTGAATAAGAATTTGCTGTAATTATTCAATTTTGGTTATATTTTATTGTTGATCATGATGCTCGGAAAATATTACCCGCAATTTATATGGATTCATTCATTTAAAGATCTTTGAATTAATTTACCGGGGGAGGTTAAGCAAATCTTGCGACCCAGCATAAATATCATTTAAACATTTGAACATATGGCTGGCTAGCCATGTTTGTTGTAGTTGGACACCACTGTAACGGAACTTTTATACAGGTACATATAATTTAAACCCTTGCTGAGAACAGTCGTATATTAGGAAAATGCCGTTCATCTAAACTACTTGTAACTAAGCTTCCACTTACGGCGTTGATTATTTGAATACAATTCTAGTCAGTTTTTTGCTTGGACTACGCGGCACTCACCTAGGCTAAAATATAGCACGGACTGACGCTCATATAATAGCCACTCCCCACAATTAAGTTAAAATAAACGCATTTCATTGTGACGGATATAGCGTTTATCAATGTGTATGATTGCAGTGTATATATTAACGTGGTTATTATACATCTTTTCCTGCATATCACCATATTTATTAAGTTACGGCGTGCTGAAATGTTGTGGTATTACACGGGATATCTGCATCCTACCATATTAGGAAATCCATTTCGAATATGGAACGACTTCCAAGATGCCGCACGCTTTTGAGAGAATTTTCAAAGCGAGGAAATTGTCACTATTCAGCTCGGAACTCTGGACTTCCTAAACTAAGTGGTTGGATCGATATTATGTATAATAAAAAGATTATTACGAGAATGCCGCAAAGTCTGCACTCAACCAGCACGCGGTCGCGTAGAACGCTACATGTGGGTCGATACTTCCACAGTGCCGTCTTCGTACATACTTTGCGGCATCCTTGCATCTTTAGATTAATTATTCCCAAGCAACAAAATGAGTGATATGCTATTAACATGCACGTCACGTACTAGAGTTGTATATAAGAGAGGTATGTTTCGGTTTAGCATACAAACTACAGTGGATGTGACGAATGTGGGATATCATTTATCAATTAATCTACTTGTACATTATCAGAAGCATACCGTCGATATTACAAATTTAATTATTAACGTAAACATCGTTATCTCAATTCTTAACGTCGATATTACTAAAAGGCATGTACGAACGGAACATTGGAGCAAATAATGACCTCAACTTATTTTGACATTTAGTCATATAGTTCATGTTTAAAAATGTAACGTTTAACCATATCGCAATTTAGACAATCTTACAACACTGCAAAAACCCCATAGCGATAGACTATTGTGTCGTACTCGGAGAAGACAAAGTATATGTAATTATACTGCCAGCGTGTGGCACTACCGGTGCATTTACTGTATCAATAAAAACGAACATTATGGACGATCGGTGAGAACTTATATGTGTATATAATGAATTGTATTGTTATCACCACAGTGACCCTACTGTTCTATAAGGGGTGTGAGTATTTTAATTAATGCCATCTGTGATGTAGTGTTAATTGAATCGCATACAATTGATGTTCCGTGTCAAATAGTCTTTTCTAAGAAGAAACAAGACATATTATATTACTACTCTATAGCCATACACATAAGAGTAATGAATGTCCAAACATACGTACAAATGCAGCTATAATACGACTGATAACAATTGCAACAATAACTTTATCTATACGACGAGTTATCGGTAATACGATGATAGAGTGTTAATAATCGCCGATTTAGACGCCTTAGTAATACAAATGTAAAACATTAATGAATCATTACAAACTATTATAATATGCATACGTATATAGAAATAATGTGTTCCAATCCAGGACATTATCTAGATTATGCCCGCCACGAAGAACCTAGATACAAATTCATAACTTTTGTCAATTATCAGACCAGAATAATAATTAGCATTTTGTTCATGAAGCACTTTTTTCTCAAGCCAAATTTATTCGATTTTAAATGTGTGTGTGTTTTAACAGTACGCCAAACCCACACTCCCCCATTTATGACAACTAGTCGTAAATGGATTAAGTGTACGCGCTTCTAATAGAGCTAATGTAGTATGCGACTTTATTTGTGATAGAACTGATTTAGTTCGGTCTATATCATGCATAGAATTTACAGTTTCTCTGTTCCGGATGGAATTCAGCTGGATTGATATGCGTAAAATATGAGTTTCATTGTCACGGAAATAAAAAAAAAGATAATATTTAATTATTTGTTTTATGACATGCATGATGCAAAACTAGTGTGATAAAGCCAAATGGTACTTTCAATATCACATCCCTAGTATCACAGACTTTATCGGCAATCCTATTGGTCCTTGCACGCGATTTGAGACTATGACGTCACTGACTGATGATCTACTAGAAGTTCATAACATAGCTCGTATGCCGTCTACAAAATATATTTTGGTAACACAACTGTTCAAAATCTAATAAATTTGAATATTTACGCAATATACCGACAATTTCATACACCCGTCACACGTATTTTTGCGTTTTAATGTCGAACTTGTGGACATCGCCGTTTCTAAATCTCCCAGTCCCATCTTCAGTTGACAACGCACGAAATACGTTTTTGTTTTCAACTGCGACGTTTGCGGTTTTCTCGAAAAAATGTGTGATAAAAATACAGCAAAAAACAGACAAAAGGTTGACATTCTGTTGCTATAACCAGAAATACATTGACGACTCCATAAATGAATTATTTTTTATTCACAGGCGATGAACTGGCGGTAAACTACTAGTATGTTCCCTGTATGCAAATCAGATCGGACGCGCTAATAAGATTAGGAAGTGCACACGCAAATAACTCGAAAGTGGTGTGACATAAACAATGTATATAATATTGAGGAAATATGCGAATCGGATACATGTGATAAATGGTGACTCGTGTCGTAAATTTTTATATGTTTCAATCTGATATCATGGGTCACTCATTTATTATTGTCCATATATTCAAATATACACGATACGCATGCGCGTATCAAACTAATGCAAATATACCGCACCTTAACAAACTAAATTCATTCCCTGAAACAATATACACGTGGTACTAGTATTATACACGACAGGCTGGTTCAGTCGCATAGCAATATGGCTGTCTTATCAATAAAGAAATGATCTGACAAACACGGGTGATTAGATGACGGTGTTTTTGTTTTCCCAGAGTTAGCTTAGATCTCCATTTAGGCGACTCGCATGTGCGGTGCAAATATGTGATTTAAGCGTAATGGAAATGCAATAAATGTTAGACCAGTATGCGACCAATAAGCGACACGAATCCAATAAATCCTCATTAGATACTCACTGAAAAATGAATAACGATTGTGACATTTTAATTTAAAACGTTGATTTGTGTTGGGACAATGGGATCTATATTTAATGTCAATAAATGCCACGGCGATTTCGAGAAAATTACTGAGCTTTTTATTTGATATAATTCTTTAGCAGTAAGATAACATGACAGGTGATAAAAGAA